TATATTATGTTAAAACTTTTTGAAAGCAGCAGTTGCTTTTTTATGATTATCTGTTTCTTTTTTAAATCTATTCTTTTGGAAGATAACTAGGACAAGGCAGCTTTGGGGTGGTAACTGAAGTAAAACACAGGACTACAGGCAAAAACTGGGCCATCAAAAAAGTTAACGGGAAAAAGGTAAATATTATGTAGATAGGTGATTTTCTTTCAAGTATTCTTAGCTTTCTTATGATCCGACGATTTTTTTATTCTTTGTTTTTTCCCCAATCTCTGTTTGAGCACCAAGATGTCATATTAGATCCAGAATTTCTCTTTTCACCTATGTAGATGTTTATTCTCATTTTTCAGGTATTATTTTGTGTCCTAGTCATTGCCCCTATAGCAGAAACTAGAAGCAGCATGAGTTTTCAAAACACTCAAACTCTGTCGTCTAACCATGTAAGTTAGGGTTCTTGTTCCTTCATGAAAGAATAATTGAAAAGATGTTTGCATATTAGATTCCAAACTATCCAAATCTGATCAAAGAATATATGCAATTGAAAGGTGTTTCTTTTTTAAGTATTTATTTTAATTTTTAAAAATTAAAAAAGGTATAAATTAGGAACAGAAAGTGTTACATTCACAAGTCAGTACGAATATAGCCGTCAACTTTATGCCTAAAGTTTTGTGGCTGCATGACGAATCCTGAAACTCGCAATTTACCAGGTGAAAATTCAGATACATTACTTTGTTCCTCTTGATATTCTAAACTTTTCAAGCTGTTAAATTGGCAATAATAAATTCTTTTAAATTTTGTTTTATTTAACAAGTTAGAAAACTACTGTACTTTGTTCATTGTTAGCACATGGCAGCTGTGGCAATACTGGGTATGATTATGTTTAAATGGGATACCCTCATGTAGGGTAGATATTGAATTGTTTCATCTCATTGATACCACACTATAATCCATCACGTTATTGGTGGGTACTGGGATGCTTGGTGCTCTGTAAAATAATTTTCTGCTCATTTGGTCTTGTTCATATATTTGTGAGATCACGGATATTAGCTCCACTGAGCTTGCCAGCTTCCAATGTGAATAATTGTGTTTTGTTTAACTCCATCGCCCCAACATCTTTATTTTGTATTCATTTTAGATGCTTATTAAACATCACCTATTTAAGTAAAGCCTTTTTTATTTTTGTTTCGTAGGTACATGGTGTGTTTGGATAGTGTGAAAATGGTTGCATACAATCACAACCACTTTCACACTACTCAAACTTGAAGGCTTAAATGACATTTCATGGAATTGTGTATTTAAAACTGTAAGATGTTATGGGCCAAATTTATTAGGTCAATGGAAACAATCCTGCAATACGCTAGGATTTACTTCGTAGTCATATTTCTGAATGTAAGGCCTATTAATTTCTTTAATACGTCCTATAGCTTTTTTAAAAATAAGTTGCTGTTGTTGAAAAAAATAATATTGTTATGTTTGTAAAATCTGTTTCCCATCAATAACTAAGGGTGGAAGTTCTGCCATGAAGCTACTTGAGTGGGACGTGAGCATCTTAAAGAGAGTGAATATGATCATATAATACACTTAGAAGAGATGTTTGAGACACCAAAGGTAAGATTTCATTAATTGCTACAGTAGTGTCAGTAGACTGAAAAACAAACGAACAAAAGAACCATCTCTGTTCCACGGTAACTCATCATATATCTTATTTAACGATTTTGTAATTTGACACAAAACTTACAGCTTTTGACCAAAACATTGTGGAAATATTTATATTTTATTTTCCTCTAAATTTCTGTTAAGCCACTGTTGCCAGAAATATAAACTAGCAGTTCAACAGAGGACAAAAATAGTTTATGTCAAGGGAAATACCTGACTAAGCCTGCTTTGTTTGCTGGTCTCTGATAGGCAGAGACAATTACTGCAGCCTAGGTTTTCATTTCTTCCTTCTTCCAATGCTCATATCTTTTTTTTTTTTCCTATTCTATTCAGAACTATTGCAACAATAATTAAATACCGTCACCATGAAAATTACAGGGTTGTTTCTTCCCTCTGCTTGTTTGCTGTAGTGCTTTATAAGGAAAGTGGTCCTCTTGTGTGTCCATAGCATTTCTGACAAAGGGAAACATCAGCCAATAAGCAGTCTTTCAATTTTTTATAGATGTCTGTTGTTTCAGTAATCATTATAAAGTAAAAAAATGGTGGAAATCTTATTTTTGAGGTTAAATCACTACTATTCTGTCTTTAACTTACTGTATTACTTGTTGGAAAGGTGTTGCTGAGCTGAACAGAAAAGATCTCGGGACTCTATAATGACAGCACCATACTATAAATGTTGCAGTAACACATGTAAAATAATATTTGTTGTTAGCTGTAAGCATAAGGGTTTTTTTGGGGGTATTGAATTTGTCAGAAATCTCATTTGAGTAATGTATTATAGTTTTCATTCCTAGTTGCTGAAAAGTTGCATCTTATATTTTTTCAGATATTGGTACTTTCTTAGGCTTTCTGTAAAAGCCATTGATGATGCATTGAATGGAAGAGGCTTTAAGCTAAATCCGTACTTAATCCTTGTTTTGAAATCACAGTGTTTTTATATATTTTTTTAATGTATGTGTTTTGAAAGCTTGATAGTTTGTTGTAGTAAGCACTGGCAATATTTGCAGCAGGTCAATTGTCTTTTGTCTTCTGTTCATAAAATACTAAGTGCATTGGGGTTCTAGGTCATCACTGCAGCTGGAGCACTGCTATTATTTATATATATTGTTATTACATTAAAAGAAACTGAACTCGGAAATAACAAAATCATTACATTCTCTCTTTATTAATATTAGCAGATGTATCTTGTAATGGACCTGTGTTAGGATGGAGAACTTAAAAAAAATTTCCTTGTCGTAAAGGACATTTTACAGAAAATGAGCCAAGGCGCATCATTCAGAGTCTTGCTTCAGTAATAGCGTATCTTCACAAAAATGGTAATTAAGTTCCTCTGTCTCTCCCATGTGTTCATTGATTTCGAGTGTTCATACATTTAACAACAGTTACTGATTGCTACTCTTATCTATTATTTTTTTCATAGTATATAGTCCGGTAAAGAAAAAGTAAAATATACTACATGAATGCTTTTTTAGAGCTTTATTTTTCTTAGAGATGCAATAACTGCTACCATTTTTCTTTTATTTCTCTTTCCATACCAGCTATGGATAATAACATGTATTATTATTTCCTAACTTGCAACTGCTTTGCATTATAACATTAACTTAGTTTAGTTGTTAAGTGTCTAGTCTATTACAGGAGGTAAAAAAGCAGAAATGGATTATTTCTGATACTTCTTAACAGTATGTATTGCATTTAGGATTCAGTAAACACCAGCACTATCATCCACCGCACAGAAGCATTACAATTCTGCATAGTCCACAACAGAGTTAACCTATCCAGCCAAAATTTTAGAATTGGTAGATAGTGTAGTATTGTGAATAATTCTGGAGTTTTTTACACAGAAATCATTAATCTCTCTGTTACAGCATACTACTTCTAGGAATCCTTCATTTACCTTTTTTTCCATAGAGATACACAGGGTTATGGAACAGTGCCTTCTTCAGAGCCTTGTTTCTTCTGTGTACTCATTGGAAGGGCAAAAACATCTACTGGTTTTGGATATGAAAATGAACTGCATGTGTGAAACTGTGCAAATCTGATAACTATACAATATAAACCCTACCTTTTTGTTAGATGATGTCAGGTGATCTGATTTTAAAGACTGAACCAATATGAACTTTTTCCCTTGTTACAGGGTTGTTGGGAGGAATGAGACTTGAAAATTTGAAATACTTATATGACTCCCTGGATGAAATGGGAAAGATGCTTTTGGTTAGGCTTCCAGTAGTGCAGAGTAAAATGCACTGGAATTGCTCAAAGAAATCACTCAATTGAAAGAGTTTAAAACATTTCTGTCAGAATATCTTCACTGCAACTGATAATATTTTATTTCTTGCTCTCTCTTGGCAGATATTGTTCACAGAGATGTAAAACTGGAAAACATTTTAGCTAAAAGCAGTGACATCGATGAAGCAAATGAAATTAAATTAAACATAAAGGTAAGATGACAATTGTAGCAGTTCTGTTTCAAGAACTGGTTTTAATATCCAGGTATTACTGTAAGACCTGACTTTGATACCTATTAACAGCTTTTGAAATGAGCTACTAAATGGTGTTATTAGGGAAAAAAATTCATTTTGGAAGCTAAGTGCCACTGCTGAAAAAGTGGATAAGTATATTTCTAGGTCAATTAAAATAAAAAAAATCCTTAAAGTAACCATACCTTGTTCACTTAGATCTACATTAGCATAGTCCCAAGCCATTAGTTACAAGAAGCCAGCAGGTGCTGTGAGATGTAATTAATTTTTAAAGTAGGAATATTGTCAATTTAATGTAAATCTGTTAGTAATTTAGAAAAAAAGCCTATTTAGACTGTGCCCTTGATTGAAATACAAATATCAAAAGAATCCTATAATAGATTAATAAAGATTTACTACCTAAAGACAATGTGCCATATGCTTACATCTTCTTTTTATTGAAAAAAATAGTCTTTGATGCTTAATAAATCATATGCTAATTATCCATTGTTGCTTTGCTGTTTTAGTAGTAGTTACTGTGAAAATTTAGGCATCTTCTAAAATAAGCTTGTAGAACTGAATTATTGGATCATGAATGTACGATCTTGGGTAAAGTCCATGTTGAGAAGCGTTTCAGACACTGAAGAGGGTGGACAACTCGGTAACTCATGGTGGGAGAAGTCCAGGGTGCAGAACTCTTGTTTGCTATGTTTCTTAGAGCCTATGTATTTTTATATAATATTATACTCATTTTAAGAAGCATAATTTTGGATTTCCCTATATCCTTCAGATTGGGGCAGTTTGTACCTTTCTTCCTGCAAATGCTAGAGGTAGGCAAGACATTGATGTAAATCTTCTGGTTTGTCAACCGGCTTTCCATTCTTGTCGTCAGTTCACCACTTCCATCAGTGGAAACCATAACGGCCAGCTATTCTGGTTTCATGGCCTTGCTTTATATATCCATTTGGAACAGCAATTATCACACTCTATCACCTCTCCTTCAAGGTGCAAGCATCTTTCCTGGCCTCTGTCCTGTGAATGAGCACATATCTTTCCCCATTTTCCTTGTTCTCCTGATTTTAGAGGAGAATAACTCCTGAATGACTTTAATGGAAGAACTGGAAAACAAGGAAGCACACCCCAAAGCTGATATGGCTAGTAGGAATAAAACTGGCTACAGGAAAGGGGAGGTCCATCACACAGCGTGAAATAGATAAACAGCTAAGAACAACATTTATCTGCTTCAGAGTTTTCAGGCTTGAGGCAGCTGATGTTAAACATGAAGCTAAGGTTTGCACCCTCCTGTTTTTGGCTGTGAGAAATAGTATCCCTGAATCTTTATGACTTTATGGTTTGGGGCAGGACATGCAGGGAGGATTATGGGAGAAATCCAGACACATATTCCTCCTGGTGAAAGAAAAGAGATTCTTCCATATGATACACTAACACATGGCACAAGTGGATACTGGCATGGGATTTAGATGAAATTTTGTTTATAAGTATAGATAGACCTTCAGTTTCAAGTCACTTGTAGGTATCAGGACGTTCCTTCCCAAACTCAGAGATACTGACAACTTCAGGTATATGTATTGTCTCACAGACTTTGAGATAAAATGTGCAAAAATATACTGAAGAAATTAGCTTCTCCATGTAAATATTACACCTGAATAAGGTTTTACTATCAGGATAAAACCCCATCTATTAAAAAAAATAAAACCAGCATTTCTTTGCACCCTTTGAAATGCTTTCCCACATGAGGGATGACGTCAAAGCCCAAGGGATGGGTGCTAACCACTTCCAGTTTTTTGCAGCAAAAAAGACAGCGTTTAAGTCATTTTTTATAAGGAAAGGTGACTCTCCAAAAGGAAACAATAGGGTTTCCATTCTGCTGTTTGTGTGTATGTGGAGTATTATACCTGTATGGAAGATGCTGTGAGTGATTTCCCCCCCCCTCCCCCTCATTTGAATATCAGAGCTCCTCGTGGTTTTGTCACATGGGAAAGGAAAGGGAAGAAGGAAGTGAGTTTAGGTAATAACAGCCTATTCTAGGACATCCAAGATACCTGCAAGGAGGTACTAGAGAATAGGAGGTGCTACCCTCCACCCCTCCCACTCCCCCACAATTTGTTTTCCCCATTAACAAAGAAGGTACAGTGGCTGAACTGTAATATCCTGGAATGCCAAAATACTAAATTTATGACCAAACCACTTATTTCATCAGGGTGTACAGCATGACTCTAATATTTTAAGTCAACTTTTTTTCACTTCCAGGGCTTTGATATAGTGCTGATTATGGCATGACAATTATTTGAAGCACACAGACTTTTAGTTTTGTCTCCTTACAGGTAACTTTTAGAGGCAACCATAATTTGGCCCCATTTCATTTCACTTTCATTTCACTAATATCTCAAATACACAGTGCTTAAAGTGGCGAGGAGGCAGAATGCAATAATCTTAATAATCTTATTCCTTCATAGTGGGTTAACTAACGTAAACTTGGGAAAGTAGTTTTCACTCATAGACACCACTAAAGCGAAAAGGAGCAGCTGAAGTTGTTTTTTTGTGTGTGTTTTCTTTTTTTACCCCCCCCCCAAAAAAAAAAACCCAAACAACAAACCAAACCCAAACCAAACCTAACCACAACCCCTAGCTTTGTAGTTAAAACTTTGCCCACTGTAAAGGTTTTTTTTGGAGGGTTGGGAGAGGGTGGACACACGAACCTCTGTTTCAGTGAATTCCAGGATTATTAAATCTCCAACCAAGGGCAAGATGGATTTTGCCCTTGCTAAAGGAAAAAAAAAAACCCAAACAACAAACCAAACCCAAACCAAACCTAACCACAACCCCTAGCTTTGTAGTTAAAACTTTGCCCACTGTAAAGGTTTTTTTTGGAGGGTTGGGAGAGGGTGGACACACGAACCTCTGTTTCAGTGAATTCCAGGATTATAACTGGACAAGAGAGAAATTTCTAAATGTGGGTATGATCTCTCTCTTTCTTAATTTGCTCACTCTACTTCTGTATAGAATAAAATTCATTTGGTTCAACTTAAACCAAATCAAAGTTAAGTTTTGGTTTTAGTTAAGATTTTCTAGCCATCACCTTTTGGTTGAATGTTGGAGCTGGTGGTGTACTCTGATGTCTGGTTCAGACCAGCAAAACAACAAATAGAAAACTGCCTCCAGGAAGTGAAATTTTCAGTTTGCATCCTCTTTTCTTAAAGACCAGCTTGAGAGGCAGTGGAATCCGTATCAGTCTAATGGACGAGAACAAATGCATTTGTGCAATATAATATGAGGTGCAAATTTCAGTGGGCCAAAGCTGCTGACCCACTGACCGGTTGGCCCTGAAAGGCTGCCCTGAAGGCAGAGGGGGAAGGTCTGCTGCATAGTTGGGTTTGGAGCCATGCCAAGGATCATCTCTTTCTGGTGGAGACAAGGGAGGCACATTTCCAGCCATTTGTCTTTCCTGCTGCTACACGTCCCAACAGCTGTGAGGAGGAACGGACCCACAGAGAGCATGCTGTAGCCATCAGTTGAGGAGTTGTCCATGTTCATGTGACAGTTTAGGTTTTCATTTAGGTTCTTAACAAGCAGCACTCCGATTTATCAGCAACTTGGTTTTATTTATCTTGACCTCCTAACTTCGGTCTCTGTCCCTCCTTGCCCACAGCAATGTAGCGTCTCCACCATCAGTCTGCTCTAGTTGGGCTTTCCAACCTGCTTTATTCCCAGAGAAGGTAAAGCAGTCAGCAGGGATTTGGCCTGTGTCCTTGGAGGATACTTAGTTTAATGTGAGCTTGAATGTCAAGGAAAAAACTGTTACATTAAAAAACCACTTAGATAGTGGAACAAATTGCCCAGCAAAGTAATTACAGGACAAACATTAGTGGTGTTCGGCACAAACTTGCTTATCTGTATGGAAGAATAGGGGAGGAAAAGACTGAAGATCATTAGATGGAAGTCTCATTTTTAATGTTTTTTTCTCTGACTTCAGCATTTTGACTACAAACAGTAACTTCTGCACTTGACAAAGCATGAAAAAAGTCCATCTTTATTGCTAGCGTTAATACCGTATTTTTTCCTACTAGGTGGCTGACTTCGGTTTAGCTGTACAACAGACTGGTGGCAGTGAAAGCATGTTTCAGTCTATCTGTGGGACCCCTGTACACATGGGTAAGTTCAGTGCTTCATTCTTTTTAAGAGCTACAACTTGCTAGATTCCTTCCAGGTCACAAAGAGTCATATGATCTCTAAGCCCCTTCTTTTTCTTCTTTTTTTTTCTCACAGGAATTGTCGTACTAGCTTAAACTGCCTATATTTCTAATCTCATACAATTATCTCTGAGACCCAAAGCATCAGCTTCACAGAAAGGTGGAGCTATAACTGATAACAACCTTTTAGTGGGTCTCATCAGATCTTATGCAGCTGCTGTGGGATAAATTGTCCATCATTATAAGAATTTACATTTCATATGCCTTTTGCATTATACGAATGTGAATGTTCATAGTATCTGTTTCTGATTTGTCCATTTTACTAAGTTATAGCTTCTACGTAGCAGCAAATTCCACAGATTAACACTGTGCTTGTTCGCAGTATGGTGCAACTGTTGGATCCTTGGCTTACACTGTCTCTCTCTCTTTCTCTCCCTGTGGTCTGTCAGAGATCAGGCTTTCTCCTGAGGATCTGGAGGGGACAGGTTGTGACAGGTATCAATAGGTATCAGGGCGAGGCAGCTGGCAAAATCCTGATACTTGCTGGTGTTTTAAACATGCTTACTACTTGTTATACTTGTTATGCTACTACATATATATATGAAAAAAATAGTGAATTTATGTGGCTTGTCCATATGCACTCCACTCTACGTGCCTTTCTGTTTCTTTTGGCTAGTGGTGTCTAGTAGGAGTGACCCCTTATTGTCTTTATTCATCTGAGATGTCAACACTTATTGTTAAAGGTATGTAGACTGGCTGCGAGATCTGCAAGGGTCAGCTCTCTCAATTCTTTCTCTGCTGACGGTAGCCAGGTTCCACAGAGGCCTTGCACCTCTAGCCTCTACCTCCAGCCAGGAAGTGCACATCTTCTGAGCTTCCAAGGTTTTTCTGAAGGGTATGATAGAACCATCCTTGACCCAATAGCTGCATAGTTTTTTCTCCCCTTCCCCTAACTTCTTGAAATAGACCTGGGTTCGTTTGGCAGAGTCATCTTTCACTGTTGGCTTCAGACAGAGCGATATGCAGGTTTCATTTCAAGTTTGTGTATTCTGAATTTCAATTATGATTCATTTTCTTTTTGAGTTCTACTCTAAGGAAAGGAAGCTAAGGTACATGCCTTGCAAGCTCAGATTTTGTCCTACAGAAAAATGTCATCTCTTCAGCTATTTGTAGCTTTTGTTGAAAGGATATGGAATCACCATTTTAATTTGGATGCTACCTCTATCAAACAACATTAGGGATGACCTAAGATCTCTTGAAAATAATTGTATTTCATTGTGCTGTTATTCAGTCAGCCTTCATAGGTCTTTTGAGGCATATATTTCTGGTAGGTAAGCAGAACAGCTGCATAGGTTCTTTACATCCCCTTTTCAGGGACAGGTGATGAGTAGTGCTTTTTTGGTAAGGTTTCTTTTAATAGGCATGGGCTTTATTGTCTACCTCTACTGGTTCAGCAAACTGGAGTGGAGGTAAATGGGGCTCTGAAGAAATCAAACAATGATTTATTTTAAATCAGCTCTGGTGTATGTTTGCCTACACATGTTCCTTCTTCCTATTCTGGAAGTTCAAAACCTCTGAAATTCTTCATTGGTTAAGAACTTGAATGGTATTTAAGGTTGTGTCATCCTTTAAGCCCACCTTGGAAGGTTCATGGATACTTAAAGTCTAGACAAAGTTGACAGGAGGCATTACTGACCAAAGAATCTGAAATCAAGTGCGTGTGGTTTTTGCAAATGTGCCATTGGTGGCCAGAGGTAATCAGAGATTCAAAGAGCCGGTTTTAATGCAAGGTAACTAATTCTTTTCAAACTGCCTTCTGCATAAGAGAGACAGAAGAACTCCATACTTCTCAAGTACTCATGGGAAAAGAGGTACAACTGTTGCACACCAGCTGAGGATTGCTGCCAGTCACCGCTTGGGCCAGATGATTGAGGGGATGTTCTCACTCCACTCACTATCCAGTCCCTAAAGGAGACAAGCAAGCAGGTCCCTACAGTGAGGACAAACAGCTATTCCAGCTGGTTGTACCTCTTCAGAGTGCAAGCAGTGACATGCCGTGTCATGCAGGGAGTAACTTTATAATCAATACCTACAGGCTGCATGAAATTAACTCTATGTCTACCACAGCAAAGGAAGGTAGCAGTTAGGGAAGATTTTGATCAGATCTTAGATGTTGCTGTAGAGGAGTCCGGGTTCTTGTCTGATGATATTACTTGATGATGCTGTGTTGTTCATTGTCAGGCACTTCTTTTGTGCTGTTTTTTTCTCTCTGCTCCCCTAGCCCATCAGGTATTCATTACAATATCTTAGATGATATGCAGAACTAATTTCTTCTTATTTTCTCATGAGCTTTATCATGCCCTCCATGCAGACAACACTCACTTTGCATTTCCATTCTACATGATGTTGTCTCCAAACTGTCTCAGTCTACCTTGTATTATTGCTAAGTTAAGTTCAGTGCAAGTAACATATTTCGTTGTTACAAGGTCAGCTTTTTCTGGTGCTGGGTGTTTTTGAAGCCAACAGTGCTACCTGAATCACAGTACCTCCCTCTGGTTACGTAAAGATAATTTGTAACTTCTGATGTGCTGCAGAAACTTTTAGGAACCTCTAGCTAAATAATGGGATTAAATTCTACACCAGGTTTTTCTTCGAAAATTTCCATCCAAACAATGTGTCTATCCCAGTGTATGACACTGATTATTATTTGATGTTGAAATGGAAGTTGAAAAAAACCACGAAAGCAGGTAATTATGACGTAGCCTGTCCAAAGGGCATGCTTTTCAGGGTTTTTTCTTTTTAGGCAATGAATGCTTTGCATTCCATAATATAAAGATTTGTACCCCTTTCTGATTTATACCACATGCTTCACTTCATTATCCAATATAGCATTCATTTTTTAATTCTATGAAGTTCTTTTCCTCAATGGTATATACCAGCAATGCATTTCACAGCTTGCTTATAACAGACTGAAGCAAAAAAGAAATCCTTTTTGGAGGAAGATAATTAGTCCTTCTGACATTTTGATTGATGAAATACTAGTAGTATTAAATACTTCTTTAAGTGAGGGGGTTGCATGGGATGAAATTACTTTCTGATTTACTAATCATGACAAAAACACAGTCTCAACACTGGAAGGGACCTCAAGTAATTTGATTTATTTCTCTGTCCAAAGAAAGAAGCAGCTATACTTAAGTCATTTCTGATGAATATTTGTGTAAAGTGTACTTAAGGACCTCCAGTAATGGAGACTCTGTAATCTTCCCTGGCACTCTATTCTGATGTTTCATTATCCCCCTAGAAATTTTTCCTCCTGTCTGCCCTGAACCTTCAGTTTGACAATCAGCTTAAACTTATGCCTACAGGCCATGATCTAATAACTTTTTTCATTATAAATTTTCAGTTAGCTCACCTGCAGCCACATAATTGCTAGAGCTGACCTAAGGGAGGTGGTGGGAGCCTATGCACAGGGCTAAAGAAAAGGCTGGAACAGCGCTTCATAATTTCAGACTATTATTTCTTGCCCTATCCATCATGGATATGAAGAACAGGTAGCCACCTTCCTATTTTCAGCAATCTGATATCACACTTCTCCCTTGGTCTCTTGTTATTTAGACTAAACAGGATGAATTTTCTCAGTCCTGTCCTGCATTTCTGATCTTGCAATTGACTCGCCATACTCCATTTGGTACCTATTATGTTAAAATGGGAGTATCCAAAACTGAGCACAATATCTAGTTGAAGCCTCACCAGTGCTGGGCTGAGTGGAAGGATTGTTTTGTATGTACTGCAGACCTTAGGCTTGCGTATAAAACACAGGTGATGACCGTCTTTTTGTAATCTATTTAAGGACTCTGAAGTCCACATAAAAGAACAAGAGGCACATGCTGGGAATCAGGCCATTGGCCTGTTTTTCACCTGGCATATTTAAATAGGCTTCTAGCCCAGACAAAGGGTGGAGTGTTGGCCTTGGCTTCCTCAGAAAGGGCAGGTGTGCACAATGAGGTTTTGTACCAGAGTGTCTGTTTTATGCTAATCCTGCCTCGCAGAGGCGTTGTCTGGTAACACTGGAACGGTTATGTTCAGCTTGTGATTCGCAACAGTCCTTGAGCTGCTGCCTGACCAGCTCTTCTCCTTGTGTTTGTGTTCTGAGCTTGTCTTTCAATATACTTACAGTCATTCCTGGCTTGATGTTGACTTAATAAGGTTTAATAAGCATGTTCTCTCTTGGATCATCCAGGTCATCAAAGATAATGGTATCACGCCGAGGACAGACACCTACAAAACATCCCTTGATGCAGCCTTCCACTTTGACAATGAACAAGTTACAACTACTTTCTGAGAAGCATTTTTTATAAACAAGTGTGCATTGTTCCTGTGATATTTTAATGTAGACAGTATTATGAAAAAAGTTATGTGAGACAGTATCAAAAGCCTTACTAAAATAGAGATATGTGATATTTAGTGTTCCTCCTCTAACCCCGAAGCCTGTCAATCTGTGCTACAGTGAGATTTGTTCCTGACAGGTGCATAATGGCTGTTACTTACCTCTTTGTTTTCTTCTAGGTGCTTATTATTCCCAATATTTTCCTGGGAATTAAAATTAATGGGACACTTCTGTAATTCTTTGATGCCAGCTTTTCCACCCTCTTACGGAGAGATACCATGATTGACTTTTTCAGTTTTCACGTATTTTACCTGCCTTCCACTAATAGTTCTTGAACCACTAATAGATCTGAAAAGTCTTGTCAGTTTTTAAAATAGTCTAGAATGAATTTTATCGGTTAGGGCTGATTTTAAAATTTCCAACTTAAGTACTTGCTAACCTTTTGCTTCTCTGTAAAAAACTGAGGTCTTGCCCCTTCATCATTGATATTGATGGTGCTATCCACTGCTTGCAGTTGACATTTTGGTTAAGATTGATGTAAGAAGACATTAAATACATATGCCTTCTGAGCATCATCTATCAGTTGCATTCTCGGTTGAATACAATACCAGCCTCTTTATTTATTGTCTTCCTACTACTCATATACTTATAGATTATTTCATTTTTAGTTATGTCCCTTGTTAGCTGCTTCTCATTTTTCCTTTCTGATTTTGCCCCTCTATGCTTACATTTTCCTTTTGTTCTTATTTCCGTCTTTTGTATACTCCCTTCTTGTGTGTGAGACTTGTGGAAATTCACAATTTAACCAGACTGGTTTATTAATTAAAAAAAAAAATTATAAAAGTAATAGCAATTTCCTGATTCAGTAATTTTATTTTCTGTACTGCAGCCACATAATTGCTAGAGCTGACCTAAGGGAGGTGGTGGGAGCCTATGCACAGGGCTAAAGAAAAGGCTGGAACAGCGCTTCATAATTTCAGACTATTATTTCTTGCCCTATCCATCATGGATATGAAGAACAGGTAGCCACCTTCCTATTTTCAGCAATCTGATATCACACTTCTCCCTTGGTCTCTTGTTATTTAGACTAAACAGGATGAATTTTCTCAGTCCTGTCCTGCATTTCTGATCTTGCAATTGACTCGCCATACTCCATTTGGTACCTATTATGTTAAAATGGGAGTATCCAAAACTGAGCACAATATCTAGTTGAAGCCTCACCAGTGCTGGGCTGAGTGGAAGGATTGTTTTGTATGTACTGCAGACCTTAGGCTTGCGTATAAAACACAGGTGATGACCGTCTTTTTGTAATCTATTTAAGGACTCTGAAGTCCACATAAAAGAACAAGAGGCACATGCTGGGAATCAGGCCATTGGCCTGTTTTTCACCTGGCATATTTAAATAGGCTTCTAGCCCAGACAAAGGGTGGAGTGTTGGCCTTGGCTTCCTCAGAAAGGGCAGGTGTGCACAATGAGGTTTTGTACCAGAGTGTCTGTTTTATGCTAATCCTGCCTCGCAGAGGCGTTGTCTGGTAACACTGGAACGGTTATGTTCAGCTTGTGATTCGCAACAGTCCTTGAGCTGCTGCCTGACCAGCTCTTCTCCTTGTGTTTGTGTTCTGAGCTTGTCTTTCAATATACTTACAGTCATTCCTGGCTTGATGTTGACTTAATAAGGTTTAATAAGCATGTTCTCTCTTGGATCATCCAGGTCATCAAAGATAATGGTATCACGCCGAGGACAGACACCTACAAAACATCCCTTGATGCAGCCTTCCACTTTGACAATGAACAAGTTACAACTACTTTCTGAGAAGCATTTTTTATAAACAAGTGTGCATTGTTCCTGTGATATTTTAATGTAGACAGTATTATGAAAAAAGTTATGTGAGACAGTATCAAAAGCCTTACTAAAATAGAGATATGTGATATTTAGTGTTCCTCCTCTAACCCCGAAGCCTGTCAATCTGTGCTACAGTGAGATTTGTTCCTGACAGGTGCATAATGGCTGTTACTTACCTTTTTGTTTTCTTCTAGGTGCTTATTATTCCCAATATTTTCCTGGGAATTAAAATTAATGGGACACTTCTGTAATTCTTTGATGCCAGCTTTTCCACCCTCTTACGGAGAGATACCATGATTGACTTTTTCAGTTTTCACGTATTTTACCTGCCTTCCACTAATAGTTCTTGAACCACTAATAGATCTGAAAAGTCTTGTCAGTTTTTAAAATAGTCTAGAATGAATTTTATCGGTTAGGGCTGATTTTAAAATTTCCAACTTAAGTACTTGCTAACCTTTTGCTTCTCTGTAAAAAACTGAGGTCTTGCCCCTTCATCATTGATATTGATGGTGCTATCCACTGCTTGCAGTTGACATTTTGGTTAAGATTGATGTAAGAAGACATTAAATACATATGCCTTCTGAGCATCATCTATCAGTTGCATTCTCGGTTGAATACAATACCAGCCTCTTTATTTATTGTCTTCCTACTACTCATATACTTATAGATTATTTCATTTTTAGTTATGTCCCTTGTTAGCTGCTTCTCATTTTTCCTTTCTGATTTTGCCCCTCTATGCTTACATTTTCCTTTTGTTCTTATTTCCGTCTTTTGTATACTCCCTTCTTGTGTGTGAGACTTGTGGAAATTCACAATTTAACCAGACTGGTTTATTAATTAAAAAAAAAAAATTATAAAAGTAATAGCAATTTCCTGATTCAGTAATTTTATTTTCTGTAGGATATGTGTATAAGGATATAAACTTATAAAAGTTTGTAAGTTTTCCCAGGATGTTAATAGCATGAATTACTGTTGTTTAAAATGTTCTCAAAACAATCAATTAAAAATGAGATGATACTGTAGGTTTTGGCTAGTTTGGCAATATTAATGCTAAGAATCTCCTTTAAAGTCTTGTTTTACCAGTTGTGATATTATCAAACCATTAAGTTAACCATTTTAAGTTCCTTGACATAATAATTAGATATCTGAAGCTTGGTACCTACCTAAAACATAAAAACCTGAGGTGACAGTTAAACAAGCTTTTTGATTTGGTGGGACAACACCAAATAAAATAGTCTCTGTCAATCTCCTCTTTTACTGCGTGAAGGTTTTTATCTTCTGTTCCTTACTGGGGCTAAGTATGTCATCTCCATTGATTCTGGAAGTGAGGACCATAGATTTTGCTGTGAACTCACGACCACATCTCCCATGATATAGTAGATAAAATATCACTAAGATGGCCCCAAAGCAGCATCCTTTTGACATGTGACAAATAATATAAAGTGATTAGTGAATAGATTATAATTTGTGAATTTTTAATCTAGGATATAAATAAATAGGTTTGAAAATTTTTATTTTAGAGTATTTTGGCATGGATTTTGTTCATCATACGATGTATTCAAGGTAATATGTGCAAACAGAGGCTCTTGTGTTTTGCAAAACCCCTGTGTTCTTATGCACTACACATATCTGGGAGAAAAAAAGAAGTTTGTATGGTGTCTTGCAGTACTTTAAGTCAGTGTGTTATGAATACTGCTTTAATAACTCATTGTGGGGAAAAAGAGTACTAAGTATAATCATACAGCTAATGTCACAATGTCACCACCCCCTTTACAGCTAAATGATAAAAGTGAGGACACATCAGCATGAATTGTTAAGGTCTGTACATTATTCATTTAAACATCTGCTGTTGGTTCCCCTTTACATATGGGAATAAATTATACCACATCAGCACATTCTTCATGCTTTGTGTTTAAGCATTTAAAAGTTTTTTTTTGTATTATTAATACTATTTTTTCTGCTTGGTTGGCAGCTCCTGAAGTTATCAGTGCCTATGACTACAGCCAACAGTGTGATATTTGGAGCACAGGTGTCATTATGTACATGCTGTAAGTAGCTTGTAAAAGTAATATAAAATGTACAGACCCATTTATAATACAAGTACTTACAATTTTGCACTGAAATAAAAAATAAACCTGTATGCTAAACCTTCACAAAAGACTGAACTCTTATAATTGCTTGTATGTAAACATTACAAATTTCTATGCAAAATAAAGTAAAAGATACAGTTCAGTGTTAAAAATTGAGTATTTGATTTATGAACCACTTTATAATCCTGAAATAACAGAATATTCAGAATATTGCAGTGAAACACAGTAAAAGTAAACTGAGAGTTTAGGCTTCTCTTTTTCATATGTTGGCTGGATCTATATATGAGAACTAAGTTATTGATTTACAGATTATTGGTCAAATCCTCAAATGGATTACACAAACTGTGCAATCAGGGTAAGGGCTTTCCTTCTCCACCTCTGCCTGTGGTAACTCTGTAACTGAGGTGTTCGAGGGCTGCCAGGTCTCCCTGTACAGGTTATCCGTGTCCCTTGAAAGTTTATTAGTCTGCTGTTATTAGAGGAAGAAATGAGGTTTTACATTTGCAAGAGTACATGCATATTTTTATTGAAGTCTTTCATCATTTATAACATTTTTCTTGGTTACAAAATAATAATTCCTCTCTGAAAAATCTTATCCTGCCTATACTAGCTAAAGAATATAAAAAGGTACCCCAGTAATTAAACATAAATTGTAGCAAAGTACATAAATTACCGTTCACATGATGCAACTAAAATGTCACATTGTATGCAGGGACTTTTTTTCTTTCATAATGTATTTGCATGGTTTTTTTCCCCCACTTTCAGGCTGTTTCTTCTCTCAGTTGCCCCCAGATGATGCTTTAATGCCAATGTTTTAGAACATTACCACTTGCCATTTCATTTGTTGTTAGTATTTCTGTCCTGTGATTGTTTTACTTTTGTTGCATACAGCTGAGTTCTTTTATATTTTAAGACTTTGTGCATGAGCATGCAGACACAGGCACACAGTTTCATAACCTCCTCTTTTCTGGCTTTTCTTTGTTTGTTTTTTCTTTCCACTTTGTTTTGGTTCCTCAGTTTCTTTTCTATACAATTAGCTCACTTTTCTTCTGTGTCAGCATGATGAAGTGTTCGTAGCTTTATTGCCTTTATTATTATTCTTTTTTAATTTCTAAAATCCATGTGTACTTTTTATGCTGATACAGAATGAGTTTTATTGTTGTACTTCATGATATTAATGTTTGCATCACGGTAGTAGGATTTGCACAACGTAATACAATAAAATATATTATAAAATGGTTGGTAGAAATTGGATGGTTTGACTGGCTAATAAGAATCCAGAGCAGTGCCTGCAATCAGCACAATTCACAGCTCAGAACTTGTAAAATTCAGAGCAGTGAACTGTGTTGATTGCAGCCAGAGCTTAGAACTTCTGACCTTCTTCCTTAATTAGCAATATAAATATTTTTTAAAATTAGCATTTTGTAATCACAACAGCATCAGAACAAAGTAACATTAATTCACCCCTTGTTGTGTTGACTGCACAAGAATGAAAATACCATGTATGAATTAATAGAATACAATTCATACTCCTTTTTATTGCTTAATTTGAAAATAGTAATACAAAAGCCATGAGATCACCTTCTGATTTTAATTCTGTTTTTGCAAATTACTTTGTTCCCCACCCTGAATAAAAGCTTGTGCTCCTGGTGCTCCTTTAATGGGCTTAAAGATACTGTTAGAGCCGTTATTGCTACCATCACAACTTTGACCCTTCCAGGCTACAGCTAATACCTCCCTGGTAATTTGCTAGCTGCCAGAGCTCTTTTTGCAGTGCAGATGGCATGCTCCATCTTGGTACCAAGGGTATTATTGCCACGACAGGCTCAGTCTCTACCTATATGGGGAGCATAAGCCCTGAGGTGACTCATGAACTCTGTTTTCATGAATCTTAATGCACAGGGTTGCCTCTGCATAATGGGGCAATGCCAGCGTGATGGATTTTTATATGTAATTTAAACTGAGGTGTACTTTATACTTTCTGTTTCGTTTCTATAGAAGCATACACAATAGTAACCAACAAAAAGAAAATCCATTAAAATACAGAAGTATGGCAGCACATTGAAAGAGTAGACTAGCAAGAGTCCTGCTGCCTGTCATACTCTGAGAGAACGGCCCATATGCTGCTCTCTAACAGGTAAGGGTCAGGGGCTTCTTTTTCCTGTGCTATCTACGCTATTGGATTTCTTGCTCGTTCTTCCAAGTGTGCTCAGAGACTCTGGCCCCTGCAGTAGTTCTCAAAAACCTTTGTGCAACTAAAGATGTCTGGGATGCCTAATAAATTACTTCCTGCATTGCAGCAATAAGAAACCTATTAAGAAAATGTGGTACTTTTTGCTCCTTTCTAAAGGCACAGAAAATTTCTTCACAGATTTTCAACGTTCCATGTGATATGTTTCACCTACTTAACTTGATTTCTTTAGCTGAAATTATCTGTTGTCTGTCGCTGCCTTAGTCTGGAGAGAATTTAGTCCTATCTGTGCGTAACAGAATAATGGGCATTGTCACCAGCCAATACTTACAATATCGTGTCCTGAAATGAATGCATTCTTCCCATTTTCTGATCTTTAAATTGAGTTCCATGTGGATTTAAGTCCTGAGGGAGATTGGGAAGGAGAATTGGAGGATAAAAGAAAACAGCAATTTTTGTTGAAGACATTTTGAGGTTAAAAGTTTGGGACAAATGCACTAAAATATTAATTTTATGTTTTACCTTAAAATTAAAAATTAAAGCCGTGTGAGTGAAACTCCAGAATATTTTACTTAGATATAAAGTGACAGGCATCCTTCACTAGAATGTGACAATTACATTTTCAGTAGCTACTTCTGTGTTTTGGGAGTAGAACTAAAACCATAATTTGATGCAAATAATTTATTTGATGAAGTTAACTTCTTTTTTGTTTTAAATGGACACAAATAGGTGTATTAATTTCTTGAAAGTATTTGCTACGTAATTTTTGCATGTCAGTTGTGCATGAATAGTATGATGTAAAATCTATAAGAAATTTAATCTGTCTATTAGTTTTGATTGAAAACGCAGATCACATGGTACGGTTTTTCATTTGTTATGTGATTAGTAGAACACAGATCAATGTTTGCTTTCAAAGTATATTCTCTAATAAACATTTATAGTTGATGTTTCTGGTTAATACTTCTGTTAGTTAACAGTAATAGTCATAGAAACCAAATACAAAGCAAGTTTAAACACTGGGTTTGATATTAACACAATTTTTTTAAGGAATGCATTTGTTTTCATTTCATATATCTTACCTTTCTTATTGTTACCACATCATTAAGAATACAACTGGCATAAAAGAAGCAGATGATACACAAAGAATAAATTGAATTTACAGACATTCAGATACCACATTTACTCAAAAATGTTACCCAAAATAACAAGAAATAGATACAGGGCAAGAACGCAGCCAAGGTATATTTTTATGAACCTATGTACTCTTAATATGTACACTTATGGGACTGTCTTAAAATTTTTCTGACATTTCTGATGTCTTTGCTTTTTTATTATCCTGTTTCTACTGATACCTTAGTTTAGATTAGGCCAAATAGGCAATGTTCACACTATGTAGCTAAAGGAGGTACAGCTTGATACCAGAACAAAAAATGAAAAATTAAAAATGTTTTGTTTTGTCATAGTATTTTCTGCTTTATGTTTTTGTTCTGAAAAATACATCTTTTGTAGCAGTAAAAGGATATTATATACTTCTATATTTTCCGATGACTCACACTTGCTTTGATTTACTGCTATTCAATGAAGAATAGCAATTTAGACTGAGAATTGAACAGATTTCATAGATTGTAAGAACTTGGAACATTTTGAGCAGCAGTATACTTGACTTTAGGGACACAAGCAACCACTATGTATGACTAACCTGACTTCTTATATAAAATAAGGCTGCAGAATAAGACATATCTAGTAATTCTTATACTGAGTCAGTGACCTGTGTTTGATCCAAAACCTGTTTTTTAGAAAGACAGCTGATTGGGACTTAAATGCCTAAATTGAGAGCGGTCTGTTTTGTCTTGTTGCTGTTGTTTCAGTTCTTGTGATTGTTATTAACTCAGTGGAGTTTTTGCTCACTAGTCTAAAAACAGTGGGACATGAATTAATGATGGTTCTTATTACTGAAATGTAGTGGTTGCTAGGTCAGAATTGTTGAATTGTGTAATTGAAAATATCACTTTGACATGAAGTCAAAAGAAACGGTATAAAGTATAAAGTGCAATAAACAAAATTTCTGTGGTGGAAATACTGCACATGGTGGCAACGGGTTAGCTTTCAGTTAGCCAAGTGATTTGGATGAGTGAGTTACAGAATAGCAAAATACTGTATTTTCAGTTTTCGGTTTAATTTTTTCTAGCTTCTACCTTCAGTTGTTGTATCTTGTTAAACCTTTGCCTGCTACTTTAAAAATCCATATAATATCAATTATCTTTTCCTTATGTGGATACCAAGTGACCAAGATTAAATCACCTTTTAACCTCATAACCTTTTTCCTTTAAATCTCTCTGAGACACACATTTGTCAGAACTTGAGTCACTTTTGTAGAGTTCTTCTGAAGCTTTCCCAGTCCTGCGAACTTTTTGATTTCACAGTGATCCCATAATACACAGTTTTTGACTCACCAGTGAAAAATAGTAGGTATCTGTTCACTGACCCTAATTTTCTTACACCTTTTATAGCAAGCTTAGAAGAAAAGCTTTTTGAACTAATAAGAAAGGGAGACCTGTGCTTTAAAAATCTGGTCTGGGAAACAGTGTGGCTGGTAAGTACACAATGCTCTCACAAAATAAACGCTGACAGTATTGGAATGAATTCCACACAGGTAGTAGTTTTGACCTTTTTTTTGCTTTTAAGTAGTATGCATTTTCTGAAAAGCGAAATCGATGTTAAAAAATAAATTGACATAAATGATATCATGAACTAATTTCATATCATTGTAAGTAAAATATTCTCTGCTGAATTAAAGCACTCAGTTGAAAATGTGTCGAGTTGTTAGCAGAAATGAGATGTGTCAAGTAGTGGGTTTTTTTCCTAGCAAAACAAGTATTGAGACTACTTCTGAAAGTCGATCCTGCTCACCAAATCACAGCTAATGAATTACTTGATAACCAGTGGGTAACAGTGAGTTTTGAGGAGGTATCATTTCTTCACCTTGTGTTCTACCTCTTACTTATTTGGTACATAAAGATGCTGTATTGCCTCAGTGGAACTCAGTAGGGTGGAAAATTTAAAAAACCCACAACCTAAGCAACAGAACACTTGTAGGGACCTTATCCAAAGCTCCCAAATCCATTAACATGTTTTGCTTGTATCCCATGGGCTTCTGATAAGCCCGTTAACTAGGGGAAGCTTTACACTGTGTTCCTTACCCAAACCAACTTCACCTGATTTCCATATGTTTTGACATAATATGGAAGTATGAGTTCAAGTCAGGTTTAATTAATTCTCACAACATTCCTGTTATAATAAAAGGTTTGGTTTGGTTGTTGGTTTTTTTTTTTTTTTTAATTTAACAACAGAAGATTGAACTACAGGGAAATCTGGCCATTCTGAAGGCAAGTGTATTGTAGTGCTGGAAAGGGAACCTGTGAGCTCCCAGCTTCCTGGCTGGGCTGCAGACCATGCCACGGTGAGAGTACTGAACTTTCAGCTGTCTGATGAAGCAGTTGCACTATTTTGTAGTTGAAGTTAAAGCAGAGGGAATGCATATATCTGTTACTTAAGGATAACACTGATGATAGCAAACCCTAATTTCTTCTGTAAGAAGATGGCTTCAATGCCATCTAGAAAGAGAAATGCCTGTGAATCATTGAAAAATATTCTGGTATGTGGGAGGATAAATAGCGCTCTCTATTCAAAATGGACCACTGGTTTTGCCTCACACCTTCACCTACAAAAGAACCATTCTGGACTAGCGTACATCTTTCTTCTTTCCTGCTGATTGAGTACAGCTGAACAAGAAGCTTTTTTCAAAGTTTCAGTGCATTCTTGTGTGGAGGAGAATAGCCACAAGCAAATGTGTAACTACAATGGCCTGAAAAATGAGACAATTTTCATCCAGTTCTGCCCTGCCATACTATGAGTACCATAGTGTCCTTGCTTCATGAAACTGAAGATATGGAAAACTACCATTCACGTGATTTTATGACTTTTCACCATGTATGTTCATGAAGTTTGAGACTAAATTCCATATAATAACATAATTGCACGCAACAAGACCTTCCTATAGTTCATAGTAAACCATTCCTTCTCTCCATACTATACAACATTTCAGGCACAAGTAGATTTTAATTTACAATGCTTTTCTTCATTTAAGAAGTAGGTAGCAGACTGGTTATCTTAACTATAAAATATCTACAAATGCAACCCCATATTAGTTGTCTTCCATTTGTACTTTCACAGTAAATGTGCAACACCTTTAAGCATTAGTTTCAATGCAGAAATATATTTTAGATTTTTTCAAGTTTGAATGTTTCTAAAAGTTGAGAGATGGCCATCCTAGACTGCTGACAGAATTCCCTCCTGCCAGGGAGCCTGCTCTGAAGTCTGCTGTAATGGACAGCTTCTGCAGACATCATTTGGTCAGAAATAAATACAATCAGAAATGACCTCTGGAAACACATGGAATCCATTTGTTCCTCCAGCTGATTTACTCCTAGCACAGTTTTAAGCTGCTTTCTTAAGGGAAAACTTTCTGGATGAGACAGTGCTTCAGACAGTGATCTTGCCTTCACGCTTTAACCTTTCCTGTATGTGACCAGCCAGTGTTTTCTAGTACAGTAGAACTGCAAGGAGGCATTTTTGTCTCTTAAATATCTCTACGTTAGCATGAGCTGACTTGCAGTGCCATTTGAAGGCTTGGGTTGCTGTGTCTCCAGTTATAAAGGAGACTTTGGCAGACATCTGCCTGTGAGCAGTAGCTCCAACATTAGATGCTTTGGATCTGCTGTGTGCGAGCACAGTGTGCAGCTGCTCTGCTCGCAGATGGTACTTGGTTGAACTTGCTCCATGGGCTCAGTACTGTGCATGTGCAGTGCCCAGTGTCCTGTTGTGGTTCTGCTGAATTTCTTGAAAATTTTTTTCAACCAGTATACCTGTTTTCTTGAATACTGATGGGCCTGTTTAGCATTTTTACTACTAAATACATCCCCAACTCTGTTCAGTACTGACACTTCCAATTTATTTATTTATTTAATAACATTTTTGTTTCATTAACATAAATTATTTATTTTGTATAAGGAGCTAAGAACACCAGAATGGTCATACAAGGTAATGTCAAAGGTCTTTCTCACATCATCACAGTTGTCTTCCATTTGTACTTTCACAGTAAATGTGCAACACCTTTAAGCATTACTTTCAATGCAGAAATATATTTTAAATTTTTTCAAGTTTGAATGTTTCTAGAAGTTGAGAGATGGCCATCCTAGACTGCTGACAGAATTCCCTCCTGCCAGGGAGCCCGCTCTGAAGTCTGGCCAAGGATAGATGCTTAGAGGATAAGAACAGGAAAAGCATTCAGTACTGGAAAATTACACCAGTCTTCAGCCACTTGTTGCTCAGGGTTTCCTGAACCAAAAAAGAGTGGTGGTAATAAAGCTCAGTTGACTTTTTTCCCACTGATTTCTCCAAATATTTTTAAACTCATATAAAAATTTACTTGTGGCAAAGAATTCCTCAGCTTCAGTAGGCAGACTGTGAAGGTGAGTCCCCCTTGTTGTTCTGTACCTTCTACCTTCCATCTGCATGTTCCATTTGAAGCCCCCGGTTGTCTTATTTGCATTCTCCTATGCTGCTTATGGTTTTCATACGTATTACACATGAAGTTTGAAGTGGTAGTTAAATGTTTTTCCATTTCTAGGAAAAAACCTTAGGTTTTTAGAGGAGTATAAAGAGAAGAAACAGGGACTTCAAGTGATAAGTGACACTATGCAGAATTCTTTAACAAATGCTCATTGAGATGTCCTAATATGGCCTGGTTTTCAGAACTCCTGAGCACCTGTGGCTCCCATCTTACTTCAGAGGGAGTTGCAGATACTCAGTACCGTTGAAAATCAGGACACCAGTTTCTACTTCATGCTTGTGCCTCTACAGCCTTTGTGATTTTACAATAGCCAGATGGGGAACATGAAAGTGCATTATCATGTAGAGAATTCTGTGTGTAAAAAAAATTAACCCCTTGGTGCCATGTGACATGTGAGCTACTGCATAGGAGTAAATGCATTTGGCACCACAGTCTCCCACCAGGAAATCCCTACCATCTGTACCAAAAATTTATGAAGTCACAAGTCATTCTGTATGATTAAAACTGGCATTTCAAACATAGGTGCAACAATTTTATATTCCAGAACAATAATTTAACAATTCAAATTTTAGTTTAAAAGTTACCATGTACTTACAGCTAAACAAATGACCTCAAGCTCAATTCAAGTTGTTGGATACCTCTGGAGGTTTATGTGTTGTCAGTTTGAGACCGTATATAGTTTTGGCCGGGGGCTATGCAAAGGGTTGATGATTAACTATTTATCAGAGGTACTAATTAATGCAATTCTGTTACTAGTTTTGATTATTCTGATCTTTAATCCAGTTAAAACTTTTCCAGACACATTTAATTTTTTACATCTACTAAAAAGTAAAAGCAAAAAAGATGACAGGATTGCAGAATATTATTTTTAAGTTTCTAAGAAAGACAAAGATTGTATTACCACTAGATGTTGTTTCTGCATAATCTGCAGGAGTATATTACTTATATACCGAATATAATATTCATGAAATATAGCGTAAATCTTATTTTGCAATAAATATTTTGATGGATACACATGTTTTGGTTTGATACTGTAATTTCCAATTCCTTTAAGCTAGATTTTTAAAATATGCTCTATTCAATTTTTTTCTACCTAATATTATATATTGTATGGATTGTGATATTTTAACTATAAGAATACTCTACCTCCTTTTCTTCACTTCCCACTAGAAGAATTTGATATTTTCTTAGGTCTGATTTAACGGAAAGTGGTGTTTCCTTTCAGGTAGTGAGGTTGGTTTTTTCTTCTTTCCTCTCCTCTACTTATTTTTTGCTTATGTTGGAAGAGTTTTTGAGCACATTGAAGGTGAGCTCTGGTTTAGAATTCTGTGTTACTGCTGTGATTTTTGGTGAAATTTACAGGTACATGAGTCTGCTTGACTGAAGAGTAAAAGCAAGACCCTAAATATAAAATCATGTGTACAGCGTGTGAGTTTTCTTGTTTCTTTTGGTGGCAAATTGACTTTTACAAGCAAACAAAATACCTAAAGCCCAAATTCTCTGGTGCCTGACTTACAACCCCAGTTCAGCAAAAAGCATGTATGTGTGTTCCTGTTCTGCAAATTATTTAAGCATATTTCCAAAGTTATGTGAGGACTTGAAAAATTTGATCCAATGAAGGACTGAGATGCCTAAGGATGCCTAATGATTCTGAGAAGAAATCTGCTTAGAGCTCTTGCTTTAACAAAGCCGCCTCTCACTTTCCCGTCTTAAATTTTCTCAGCTATCTGGAGTTGGATCTTTTTGTGCACCTAGACCTCCCTCCCTTGGCAGCACTGGGCAGTTCAGAGCCGAGTTACAGATTAGGATTTAGAAACTCACATGGCCTGCAGACACAACTCATGAGTTTCCTGACAGAATGCAGTAAAAATCACAGCTTTCTTTTAGTGACTGGCAGAGATACAACTTTTTGTGGGGCAGCCTCGTGGTCAGACTACTTGCTGAAGATGCAGGAGACTCGGGCTCTATATACAGTGTAAACTTGCCTAGAGAAAAAGGGTTGTGCTGGGTGAGAGCATGGCATTGCTTTTTCTTCCCTTGACTGAAGTGATGACATCTGGGTTGGATGGCTTACAAGAGGATCACTTTCTGTGATTCTTTAGAGCAGGCATTTGACAAGAATGATAAGGGCTAAATTATCTGCTACACAAGTGGATTTAGTACACATACACCTTCACTCTGCACAAAATATGAAACTTGAAACCACTTCAACATTTTTGCTACCAGCAAAATAATGCATTCTGCTGTCATATCTCAATAAAATAAATAGCAGTTGCACTCCATGATATTTTTCTAATACACAAGTTCCCTTTTGTTTGTATCATCTGTAATTACTTGTTGGTCTATCACTGTCCTTGTAAGTTTATTCCATCTTAGTTATCATTTTCCATTTCTGTGGATCAGTCTCCTTTTTTAATTGATGGTTGTACTCAAGATTTCTCTGAACTACATCAAAAGCATTTTCTCTAGCTTTCTTCTGCGTAGAAAAATCAAGAAACCAGGCAAGACAGTTGCTCCTTTTTGCCTTGTCCATAGTTTCATTGGTTTTGTTTTAAATTCTAAGACTTTCTGTATGCATCAAGGCTTTTCTATGGCTCTGTCAACTTCCCCCATGGTATCAGAATAATTTTTAGTATTTCCAGACATCTTGTTGTTCCATTTACTGTGTATTGTACCTAATTTGAAGGTTCTTCTGTTTACCTCTACAACATTTTAATTGTTTCAGTGGTATGCTTATCGGATTCTGAATGTCTGATAATGAATCAAGAATTTAACAATTCTGTTTCCTGCCCTCAGTTTACTGGTGTTACCCAAAATCTTCCCCCCCATGCTGTAACTGAATTTTTGTCCCCTAAAATCTAAATGTAAAATACTCCAGACTAATGCTTTGAACAGCTCTTGAAAAAGATCACTTCAACCTGTCTTTCTCCTTGGTGTTTTTAAATTAGTGTATGTGCCACTAAGATTAACAGAATAAAGGTGCTCATCAGGCTTGAAACTTTGTATGTTAGATGTGTTCATGGAGAAAATACTTTATTGTATTTTCCGTAAGTAGCTGGATATCTCTGCATTTTTGTCTTGAATCCTGCTAAAGTTTGCTTCCTAAAAATGGAGCAGAAAAAAAGTTGAAATGGAAACAAAAGAAACAGAAACAACACAGTCTGTCAATTAGTAAACTTCCACTCCTTTTACTCGCAGTTGGCACCAGGTGCTAGTGAATTAAACCCAACAGGTGTTCAAATGAGCCAACACAGATAATTGACATAAATGGTTATCTGGCACTCTGTAAGGTCTAGATCTTTTAAAAAAGGCCTAAACTCAGCCTCTGCTTTTGTGGGTGCAATTCACTGCATGCTACATATTTAACTACATAATTGTTCAGGCAAAAGAGGTAGTTAAAATGTGTGTCATCAGTTATGCCTACAGTTGTCATAATTGCAAATGTAAATCTGCATCTGCAACAGATGAGGTTGTTTTGCAAAATTGAAACTTACCTTTCTAGTGGATATGAGTGTTTATTCCTTGATCATTTGGCACATATGTGTACATAGCTATCTATTCAAACAAAGGAAATACCTTCTAAATGTCAGTCATCATGTAAAAGAAAAAAAATAGGAGTTTGAAGTAAGAATTGCTAGTCTAATAAGATGGGGGAAAGAGCTCTAAAAAAAGTTTCATCTGTGACCTCTTTCCTCTGTTGGATCCACTATGTGACCTCAGAAAAAGCCATTATAATTATATTTTCTGTGTTGCAGTTTACCAATCTGTACAATGCAGATAAAAAAACTACCTAGTAACTATATATCATTAATTACTATTAGAAAAAAATAGCCCTGCTGTTACTGAAGTGCTCTAAGAACATCAGAAGATTGGTAGTATTAACACAAAATATTATCCCTTAAAAATAAATAACAGGACAACTCTAGTTTTCAGAGTTGTGTATAAACTTTGCGTATAGTATGCACTTGCCTTTCTCTCCAAACTTTCAGATACATAATTGCCAGCGTTACTGAATGGCCAAAAGAATCAAACCAAAATTATTTCAGATCATTCAGTGTGAGCTGAGAGGACAGAAGCCCGAGCAGCCTAATAAAAATTGTCCCTTCTGGACCCATAAATTGTTGCACTACCCATTCTAGATTAGGCTAAGTAAAATGGGAGTGTTGTCTAGGCACCTTCATTTGCTCAGTAATGTAAAGAAATACTGATGGATACAGAAACAGGGAGAAGCAGGGGCAGTGGAAAAATCTCAGAGCCATTCTCTGACTCCTTGGGTTTTCTTGTTATTGCTTTTGTAGAAAAAGCTAAAATTCCTTTGCAAATTTTTGGGATCCATAGTTGAAGGAGTCCTGGGGAAAAGATCATCTGTTTCCCTCCTGACTGTCGTAACTAGAATAGTAGTAGTAGTGCTTGCAGGGTTGTGCTTGCAAAAGAGATGATCAGCATTTGGAAAACATTTTTTTTGTGTCTGACTGTCGATTAAAGTGCACGGTTTAAAACAAATAGGGCCATTACTCCGGTGTTATGTTTTTAATAATAGTTCCTCGATTTGTTGAAGTCAAACTTTAATAAAATTTACTGTTATGTCTAAGGTGTAACACATGTTGTCCGGAGACCATGTCTTGGAGTTAATGAAGGAATGGAATAATAATCTAGACATTGGTGAGGAATGCAGTATAGAAGAAGAATCAAATAACCCTGCTACTACCTGTCAACAGGATGAAACCAGCGAAGCACAAGAAAGCTCTACCAGGAATAATGGTAACATAGAACTTGGTACAGAAATTGAAACAGAGAATGGGGGCAACAAATCCTCCACACCAGCAAAACAGGTAAGGTTTACTTGTTATAATATACAACAAAGTAAATGATAAGTAGAATTGAAAATGGATTAGGAAAAGTTGAGTGTGACCTAGTGCAGAGAAAAATTGCTGATGTCTGGTGAAACATTTTAATGTAGTGTAAGAATAGAAATAAATACTAGGATACAAGGTGAACTCTCCAGTGCACAGTTGCCATGTAAATACTGTGCACTATAAGAAACCATTTTGACTTAGATACCAAGTCCGTAACAGGTAATGTCTCCTGTTCAAGGTAATGTCTCCTGTTCATTCTTTTGAGATGTAGGGGGTATGTGTATATATGGGGTGGGAGGAGGGAGGGGGAATATGGCAGAAAAATGTAGGATCTTAAGATAACAATATTTAGGGCATTGAAGAGGAATCTTTTACAAGACAGCCAATTTTTTGTACATACGCTCTCTAAATAATGTAAGTAGCCGTCTTGTGACACTATCTCCGGGGGGGGG